ACTCATCGAGTGTGAAAATACGGCTCTGGGAGCAGACGGAGTCACCGTACAGCTGCTAGTGGCCTACTGGAAGACAATTAGACCATGCATAGTCAAACTCTTCAGAGCTTGCATACAGCTTAGTACGCACCCGACTTGTTTTAAATTGGCCGAACTAGTACTTGCACAGAAGCCTAAAAGAGACCCAACAACAGCCAAAGGATGGAGATCAATGGTCCTCCTCTCTTGCCTTGGTAAAGGGCTTGAATGACTTCTGACAAAACGGATAGCGCACTCATCAGTGACCTGTGATGTAGTTAGTCAGCAACAATTCGGCGCACATTCGAGACGCTCAGCAATAGACCTAGCCTCCTGTGTAGTACATGATGTCGAGGATGTGCGCATACAAGGATGGGCGGCCACTTTCGTCACCTTAAACGTACAAGGTGCGTTTGATGTAGTTCTTCATAACCGCCTAGTGAGAAGGATGCAAGAACAAGGATGGCTGGACTCAGTTCTAAAGTGGACGATGTCGTTCCTTGCACAACGAATGGTCCAAGTACGACACTTGGAAGGAGTCACGATAGAGCGACAGCTAGTCTGCGGGGTCCCATAGGGCTTGCCGATCTCGCCTCTTCTCTTTCTTCTGTACATGGTAGAGCCAATGCGCACTGGCGCAACTAATCTGAGGTCTAGCTACGCTGACGACATCAGTATTCTTGCATTTGGTCGCACTACTGCTGAGTCCGCTACAGCTGCTCAGAAAGAAGTCGACCACCTGCTGGAGTGAGCTCAGAAAAATGCTGTCCAATTCGACACAGAAAAGTCAGAGGTAGTACAATTTCCACCACGGCATCGCGAGGCAGCAGTTGGCGTCCACGTAAACGGCACTCTTATAGAGCCAGCTGAACAAGTTCGCTGGCTTGAAGTTTACCTCAATCCGCGTCTTAACTTCAAACATCATATGATGAAGTGGTCCGGAAAAGCAATGAAAGTCGCACATCTTATGCGACGCTTCAATTATACTTTTCGAGGGGCCGCACCAGGAGCGCTGATACGAGCAGTAAATAGTTGTATTGTTTCAATCGCAACTTTTGGAGCGGAAGTCTGGTGGCCCGGCCTCAAACGCCCAATGAGAGCTGGAATAGCAACGCCAGCTACCGCGAGACTTTGCACTATGATCGATAAGGCTAACATGATGGGTGTCCGATCTGCACTTCCGGTTCTGTGGACTACTCCGAATGTGGTCCTGCACAGGGAAGGTGGAATACCTCCCGCAAACATTATTCTAGAGGGAAACCGACTACGAATTTCAGCCAGAATAAAAACCCTCGATGATCAGCACCCGCTGAGATTTCGTGCTACGATGTGCCCAAACGTTGGGACTCGAAAGTACAAGGAAAAACCTCGAAGATTTGAACATGTAGATAGGCAAAAGACTCGTGCACAGCGAGCCTATCGACAACTTCCGGATGCAGAAGCTTCGATGCCTCTGCCGCCGCCATCCTACTCTGCTAGATACATGACCAAGTCAGAAGGAAAAGAAGCAAGCAAACTTTGGATAGACAACATGCTCGCATCGGAAATTTGCGCCTACTCAGACGGCTCTTCGGAGGGAAACGGACGCTCAGCTTAGGGTTTTGTTGTGAAGAGATATGGTAAAACTCTTCTCAAGGAGAATGGTATCCGACACGGAGGAGAGGTCTTGGACGCAGAAATCACAGGGGCACTGAAGGCTCTTGAGGCGGCGTTGAGACTTAAAGAAGCGCAACAGCAGCTGGGGGAGACAATTCAGCGAGTGAATGTTTTTCTAGATAGTCAACGTGCTATAAAAGCACTTGAGACGGGCATCTCTTCATTCAGCCTCGAAGAGGTACGTCAGTTTCACATACTCTCAGCGTCAGCTGCTGTGACGATTAAGTGGATCCCCGGACACTCTGGAATACGAGGGAACAAAGAAGCAGACGCTTCTGCGCGTCTCGGCTTACGAATGCTACCCAGTCCGGACAACCAACCAGAAACCATTTCGTTGGCATACCTTCGCCGTCTCATAAATAACCGGCTACAGGCTTTGCTCAACGATTGGTGGGATAAAGCGTGCCCTGTTCGGTATCGAAAGCTGGATCTACTCATGAAACGGCGCAAGCCCCCTGAACTAGCCCTATCAAGACATCTGCTACGCGAACTAATTGCGGCCTATCATCGCCGATTTAACAATGCAGACGCACCTAGTGAGTGCGCGTGTGTGAAAGAGACTAGCCCAACCCACTTTATCCACTGTCGGCTTCACTCTCACGAAACACGTCGAAAACGAGGACTAAAGTCCCACGACGACTTTATACATAAAAGTCTAGGACCCAAGTGTCTCGAAGCATTCAAAAATTTTGCACAGAAAACCTGATGTTATGGGTGATCAGCTGCAGGCTGGACCTCTGCTCTCAGCGAGGTCCATATAAATTAGTCATGTAACATGACTCGATCGGAAGGGGAACGAGGCGAGAAGTTTTGCTTCCCAACCACAAGTGCAGATATTTAGTTGGAGGTCAAAGTTTTGGAGCCTGGACTTGTATTATGATTTCTATTTTCTTTTTTTTATATATGGCTGCATGTAATTTAACTAGCTACTATTTGAGTAGCGGTTCTGTTGGAAATGGAGACACGGAGTGTTGTGGACGTACGGGCCCTCCATTTCGTCTAGGTTCCCGACACGATCTTGTGTGTATGTAAGAGGTTGGAATAGGTAATATGGTAGCGCTTGAGGCTGTCTGCTGGATATACAAGTGGCTGTTTGGCGTGGGCGCAAGGAGGTTATTGGGGGTTTTCTATGCCTACATGGCGCCATACTCGTTTATGCTGTGGCTTAGGCTACGTGTCACTTACACTTGTACTTGTAGCGCACATCTCCCACACTTTTAGCCGTAATCCGAACATGACACTCTTTTAGTCAACTTCTACTTTCGTTCCATGAATATTGCGCCCATTTCATTGCGCGATATTTCCAACAGGTTCACGTGGTGGGAACAAGCTGGGCGTGTCGTAGATTTGATCTTAGCTATAAACACCAGTCTTTAACCCTTAGGGGATAGAGGGTGTAACCTAGGACTTAAAAATTTAAACAAAAATACATGACCTGTACTATGTATATATTTTGGATGATTCTTTTGACGTTAGTGACACTGATTATCTGGATTTCATTTGCAAATACCAATATGAGGTATGTTTGCATACACAAACAGTCGACCTTCCTCCGTTAGTACCCACCAAAGGGAAATTCCAAACCTTTGATTATCCAAGCATACCTTCGTCATCCATGTATACTAGCGCCGCAAGAAATGTGTTGTATCTTGCTAGATTCGAGCCAGCGGTCTCCTATCTCGAGTGGGATATATGTCCAAGCTATGCATACCTTACTTGGGAGACCGGCCAAGACGATGTACCACCGCATCATCTTATCAACTTGTCCTGATCCCTCTCATGTCCATCCCAAAGAACTGTCTTCTAGATTTGTGCGCCACGCTTTGCTTCCTCCGTTGGGTGTAAATATCGGCGTGAGCGTGTATCTGGCGACCAGCTGAGGCCATAGAAAGTCGACGAGAGGTGTGATCATTGAAATGAGTATGTACTGGGTCGTACTTGTAGATTTGATGAGACTTAGGTTGGAGTCGATCTCTTTGGGAGCGAAAAAATGACGTGGTGGAGTAATTTGGATTTTTGCCTCGTGGGCCAACTTCTTTGATATTGCGAAATTTGACTGAACTTGGCTCTGGGAGAATATTTCATTTCCAGGTTCGTAGAGGACACCACGTACAGGTGTTCAGTCTTGCCCTCTCATGGGTCTGACTTCACTACGCTCTAAATACATCCTATTCTATTGCCCTGAGCGGCGATCCCGTCTTCCCTAACTAGTGATAAGGTGACGCTCGTACCTCGTCTCCAGCTCCCGATTATTTGCGCTATAGAATCCTCATCGTGGTGGATGCCACTTGCGGTTGTTAAGCCTTTGTTTCCGGGGAACCCTTGGTACCAATGGAATATGCATAGTTCCCAATTCTTTTATGTATACCTTGCATTCTTCAGCAAAGAACTTCTTTCTAGGAATATATATTCTTGTATTTTCAATCAGTACCTGGCTGGCGCCGCAAGGTAATCATTATCGATTTACACTACAAACGGAACTCTCCAAGCAGAAACTCGCGATTAATCTTCGGATTGTTTTTTAGAGAGCTATATAACGACTCCCCTAGTCTAGAATCCTCGTAAAAGCCTCTGAGTAAAGCCATGGAACGGAGTCTATCAAGGATGCATCACAAGGAGCATATAAAACGAACAACAGGTTTCCAAATCTGTGGAAGGAAAGGACCAACACGTTTTGAAGTGATCTTGATCTCAATTGGATGTGAAAATATCTCATCATGTCGAAGATCCATAATTCATTTGCCCTATTCAATTTCGGGCCGATATCGTCTTACATAAGAGGATGATAACAACTTAAGCTGGGCCTTTCATTCGGCCCGATACTTCGCATATTCAACTTTGAATCCCTGAAACCTATTCTATTGACACTCTTTGGTCCTGGTGTCAAAGCCCCGCCTTGCTGGGACTGCAGATTTTTGAGACTTTTCCCGCGCACGTAGTTTCCATTGCTACCATTATTTTGGGAGAAGGTTACGTGGAAAAGGTGGCTGAATTCCACGGGTAAACACTGAGCTGGATGGCTATTCATCACAGGCAATACATCAATGATCTTTGAAGTAACAAAAGAGGATAGGAGCACTATGTAAGGTGTGGCCTGGTCCAGAGAGGAGCACAATGTGCTAGATAGTCCAGACTCATACAGCAGTTAAAGTATAACTCTCTCTCTTTTAATCCCCTCCGTTCTATTAAACGAACCTCCCACGTGATACTAGCGCAATCTCGCTTAAATCAATAAGGGCTTTGGTTAATAATTGTTTTGGTTATTCAAGTTTCCTCCTTCGAGTCAACTGGAATTTGTGAGCCATACCAAGCTCGAGTTAACTAGAATGAGTTACTCATTTGACTCTACTCCGGATAGGCCTGAACATATTGACGCGATTCTTAACGGTCTTGATAGATACAATCCAGAAACAACCACTATTTTCCAAGATTACGTTCAACAGCAATGCGAAAATCGCACGAATGATACATATGCCAATTTGGCCCTATTGAAACTGTAAGTTAGTCTGGTCACACATGCAACCGCCCTATAATGATGATGCGTATCAAACGTTTCCTATTACCTGACGGCCTAAAGAATGAATCCCTTTAGTCGCTGAAGTACTTATTATTAGCTCTATCTGATGTTTCAAACCATATTGCGCTATATATACCCTATTTAATTGGTAAAGTGCTGACCTATCATCCTGAACAGTTACCAATTTAACCCCCATCTTACCAAAGATGAGACAATAACCAACATACTTGTTAAGTGTCTTACGGTCTTCCCTTCACCAGACTTCTCTCTCGCACTTCACCTGTTACCACCACATATATTGACCCCTATTTCGGCATCTTCGGCTCTCCCTGCTGCCGGAGACGCACCGCTATCAGAAGCCGTGCAGAAGCTCAACGCTTTAAACACCCTCCTATCTCAGGCATCGTATGCTGCTTTCTGGTCGACATTAGATAGTGATGATCTTTACGCGGACCTTATTGTCGACGTTGCTGGCTTCGAGGAATTAATTCGAATCCGTATCGCACTAGCTGTTTCCCAGACCGTTCGTGAAATTGATAGGGCAGTCCTCGAGTCATGTCTCGGAATTCAAGGAGATTCATTTGATGCCTTCATAAATGGTGTGTGTGGATGGCAGATAGAAGGAAATCAAGTTCATGTACCTCTAAACAAAGAAAATGAGGCAAAGGTCACAACTGTAAGAGAAAATGTAAATATAGAACAATTTTCTAGAGTTATACGAAGGGCCTACGATAAGCCCAGTTAGATCCTCACGTTCTTCTGATCGTCTTACGAAAACAAATACCTGCGACTAGCAACGGTTGCTGTTCTCCTGGTATATGATCTGAGAGTCATGTGAAATTCCGAAAACCTTGACCAAGATCATTGTATCCACAAAAACATAACCCAAATGTCACGATGTAAAATTAGGTGCGATCTTGTACCAACTATGATTCGTGAACGCGCCGCAACGCGATAATTTCTACTCTACTCATGCTTACAAAAACGCCACCAACTTATTATGTCGTAATACCTAAAAAAATTGAAACTGTTGCCCGTTGAACTCAAATTGGAAGTCGTTGCTATGTTGACCGTGCTGACGGGCCCCATACTGAAACCAGTCCTGTTGCTGAAATGGATTCTGGCTGTGCTGCTGTGAATGATCATTTGGATCATCACCCTGATCAAACCGGGCTTTGAGTTCCCGGTTACTAAGTACTTCATAGGCTTCATTAATAGCCGCCATTTTTTTTTCGGCATCTTCTTTTTTGATCCCTCGCTTGTGAGCTTTGTCAGGGTGATGTGCCCTTACCATACGCCGGTACGCAGCTTTTATTTGGGCCGCGTCTGCATCCCGTGAAACTTCTAAAACTTTATAGTAATCCTTCGCCTTTTGTCGCCTGAGTTGAAGTTGGGTCTCCTGCATTTTCTGTTTTGCCTCTTCGGAATCAGGATGGTGTTCCAAAATATCTTGTAAAGAGTTTATTGCTGCCTCAAAGGCCTCTTTATTTACCAGATCTTGTGCTTGAGCTAGCATACCATAAAGAAAGTGCTCTTGAGACTTAATTGCTTCGTCACACCAAGGAAGTGCCTTTGCGATTTTTTGTTGCTAAATTTAGTTAGCTAGATTAGTGGGGATAATTATCGATTGTACTTTCCTTGTAGTAGGCTTCGCATGTCATTTGGACAACGAGGTCAACAAGCCCGTTTGGTGAATTTTTCGTCAAACCTCCACTTTTCACAAGATCTGCAACTTCATCTTTTACTTCTTGAACTAACCCTACGTCATCTCCGGTGGGTAGGAGCACCTTTACGGCTGTGATAAACTGTTTCATTTTTAGATTCTTTTTAACCTGCTCGATCTTGACGTCCAGCTTTTTTTCTTGTCGATAGAGAGTTTTGCACGGTTTTGATTCGGGGTCTGAGTGAAGACATTTTCGGAGTTGATCAATACCGCGCTTCGTGTCTGAAAAGCCGTAAAAGTTCAAGGCAGAAATTTTGATGTGTGGGTCAGTCATTCCCGGCTGTAGCTGAAGAAGGTGTTGAAGATCAACCATACCCGTCTCGAACTCTCCTTTCTCAAATCGACAATGTGCTCGAGTCTGTCGTAGTCTGGCCATCTTGCTAGCAACTAGTATGGCAGTGTCAGCGTTCCGAACACATTCATCCCAGTTTTTACTGTTTTCTGCTTGTTCCGCGCTGTGAGCAGCTTTCTTAGCCTCCAGGAGCTCAGCCAGATCGGTAACAGAGTTCTTGTGGGCCTTGAAGTCCGCCTCGGAACCATCCCAATCGCCACTCCGTGCTTTAATTTTAGCCATCTGTAAAAGAGCACCTTCGAATCCAGGTTTGATAGTTAATGATTTACTAAAGTCCGCAGAAGCCTGATTGATTTTTCCTAAAGAGAGATATGCAGTTCCACGCTTGAAATAAGTGATATAATTTTGTGGATCACGAGAAATCGCGACATCGTAGTACTCAAGAGCTGAATTTATTTCTCCTGTACGAAGATGTTTGTCTGCGCTATTAAGAAGTGATGAGATTGAGGTGTCATCATGAATATCTTGATTCGATAATGCTAGCACTAAAGATCGTGAAGAGAAACACGCAATGAGTACTATTAAAGACGGATAGAGGATCATGGTGAGCACTGTAGAAGATTAGCCAAATGGGTCTATGACGCGAAAGAATAGGCAGGTAAAGAGTGAACAGAAGACGTAGGTGTCCTCATCAATTTGTTGTCGACTTACCCAGCGCGTGAGTTGGTGTTTAAATCATGACTTACCTGGCCTTATCTCGACTTGTGGGTCAATCAGGCGCCTGGGCTTGTGCATTACGGCAGGTGTAGTAATTCCAATAACTCTGCATGACTCGCGTCGACCCGAGCTATGTCTCAGCTATCACCATCCGCGATTTTTTCCCCGTCTGCCGCAAAGAAACAATTAGCCGTCGCAAAAGATTGGAATTATGTCGACGATTGGCTTTCTTCTAAGTTTAAGGGTAGATCGCCTCCATTATTCGAACGGAATAGCGATACTCTCAAAGTTCTCTTGGCACTTGCAGCCTTCAATGAAAGTGCAGACGAAGAAAATGACTTGATTGCCAGTGTGGAGGCAAAAGTGCTGCATGATTTGGATGACTCTGAAAACCAATTTCAGACTGGCCATAATTACCTTGCCTTACTCGAGGATAGCATGACGCGGGAAGGCCAGAAGAGCCTTGAAACTCTATCCAACCTATCTGTAACTCTAAATCAATCAATTCCAGACATTGAACGACTCGGTCGAAGCTTAATAGATCTTCAAGTTACTCTCAATGTGCAAGAACAAACAGAAGAACGTATCAATACCCTTGAGGCTAAAATTAATGCCGAGATTAAAAGTGTCAATTCCTTGATTGTAGACCTCCAGAGCGAGACATATACATCCGCCGTCGACTCAAAAGAACATGCTCTGGACTATCACCGTGAAATTAAAAGCCTGAAAGCCAAGTTACCCGAACTTCGAGAACGAGTAGCCTCTCTGTCTGCCAGTTTCGAACCTTCCATAGTTACTACAGATCACGTTAAGGCGGATGAAGCTAAATTTGAGGAACTGCTTAATGTGGTGCGTGAGATTGAATCAAAAGCAAATAGCTTCCATGGATTGCCACAGGACATAGATCTTGCAAGATCCGAGTTGGAAGCTATGAGAGAAAATTTGTTTAAATTGACGAGACAACGAGATGCAATGTTTGAAAACCTAGTGGAGACGGCAAGCCCTAAAAAGGCTTAATTCTACACTTTTTATACTAGATACAATTAATCTAATCTGACACTTGTCATACCGTGGACCACGTCACTTTTTCTGTCTGCCTCCTTGCATCGCTCCTCCCAAGCGTCTGAACTTACCCAATCCTGGCTTCTGCTTGTAAGAAGTTTGGTTACCGATAGATATCGCCGGTATATCTTTTGTGGACGATGTAGGTCTTTGAAGGCTAGATAGATTATCAAAAGGCCGATTTTCAAGAGTTTCTCCTGGGCGTATTCCATTCACATTATCCAAATCGTTACCTATTCTCATGGATCTTTTGGCACGCTCCTGTACACTTCGAAACTTTTCTAACAGATCGTGCCATTTGATTCCACTATCTTCCCTACCTTTTAAACGACTCGATCTATCAAATCCTGATGGGGCGTTGTTTGAAGGTGAACTAGATTAACTATAAGTTAACACAAAATAATCTGTAGCACTATCGTGATTCGCTATGACAGTTTATAGTATCTACTAATAGTAAATTTATTAAATTTGCGTACCTTCTAGGTGCAGTGTGAAGATATCCAATAGCACTAACACTGTTGAGCCTATTTTTTAAAGCAGCAAAGGCAGATGATTGCGGAAGAAGCATCAACAAGCCATATAAGCATTTATAAAGATGTGGAAATTTTTCGGGCTCCAGCAGCTGAAGTCTGAGGTCTAATAACCATGAGAATGTAATAAAAATATGTTGATGAGCTTACAAGTAAATACTGGAGATTCCAAAAGTTGTACGAGCTTGTCTATTTGAATCAGCATGTTGACTGTCATCTCTAATTCCGCACTTAATGTATTAGCAATCGAACTTTCATTTAGGCTAGAGCATACAAAATCTGAAGGAGATTATACGCTTGCTCGTAAGCCTGAGCGAGTAGACATAACGAAAATGTAGCAACGGCGTTGTAGCACCAGGATCTGAAAAGGGCAACAAAAAAAGTTTGACCTTCCTGTAGAAACGGTCAGTCATAGGTTGCTGCAATATCTGTAGTTCAAACCTTTGTTTCCAAGTTGCGAAGCCTTTTTCGAAGCTCAGCCAGTTCAGGGGCTGTTATAAGATTGTTATTAAGATTCTGTACCATTATGCTTGCGAACTCGACATCCTCCTCTTTCTCAATGCAATTCGCCAAAGTTCGGTAGATTCTTTCCGCACTTAGGCTAACACAAAGTTGTCGGATAATTAGGTTACCCCGCATCTCCAGTAGCTTTCTATCCGTGGAGAATAATTGCAGGAGGTTTTCCATAAATTGAGTAAAATAATCATCTCCACTATTTTTGGAGATTTGAGAAAGAAGTTGGAGATCCCTAGTTACAACAGCCTCAGATGGATCTGAGAGTATCTTGAGAAGGGCAGGGAAGGTGCCGTCGTTAAAACAGATAACCTTCCTAGGCGCTTTTCTATGAAGCATTAACAGCCATGTTAAGGCCGCAACTCTTGTTGCTTCATGATCATTTAAGAAAAGTAAAGTCAATGAGCTTACAGCGGCGGCATAATCTAGGGCAACCTGCGGCTGAGGTTGACTCAGAGTACCTGATAATTGAAATTTATTTTGTGACAGCGGAGGAGTTTGAACTTCAGATTCTCGTCTGTCTCCATTTCGAGATCCAGTTATAGATCCTCTTGCGTTGATGGAAGTCTCCTTTTTTTCATAAGTGATAGTCTCTTTCAACACCGAGATAGGAATCTTTGACAGGCCAGATGAAGAGTTCTCAGGAAGGTTGCCTTGGTCAGATAAAGAGACAACATAGTCCATAAGCGATGTATTAACCCTAGCTGCTGCTTGGCGGATAGTATCCACATCACTAGCCATAGCTGGTAAGAGCTGAGCCAGTATTTTTGGAGCAAATGGCAGTACCTCCTCAGGACAAATATTGAGAAATTCAACAATCCATCGAAGGGATTCCAAGAGAGTATTCTCTTCTATGTATTGTTAGCAACTTTTTAAAGATAACTTCATAAGGGTTACCGAGTGAGGAGTCCAAGTTGGCCGTTAGGATTTCGAGTATCTCTTTGTAGTTCACCAATACATCCTGCCCAGGAACCCAGTCATCATCACTGCTTAGCTCTCTATCATCCCCTTCCGTTATATCATCATTATTATTGTCACCCTCTTGAACTGAATCCACACTTTTTTCGGACTCCTGTTTTTTTTTTTTCGTATCGTCACGAGATTTCCGGCTTTCTTCAATACCCTTTTTTATACGAGAAAGTCGCCTAATTTCACACAAAAATCTCTCCAGAGCTCCTTGCGTAGCCACTCGTACATCTCGAGATGGATCACTAAGAAACCTAAACAAACCACCAAGAAACTCTGGCAAATATGTGACTAACTCTAAATCAGGAATAGAATCTAGAAGAGTTATCCAGCCAACTAGAAAATTTCTGGTGAAAGGATTTATAACGTATATTCTTTCCTGGAGAAGTGGAATAAAACGGGCGAGCGAAAACGCAGTCGTCAAATCTAGAGACTCATCATATGAATCCCTATCTTCTTCCTCTTGGATTTCTTCTGGCAAATTTAACACCGAAACGTATGTTGCAGCGGACTCTGATACTATATCCTTGATTAGCCGATCAAGAAGTTCGGCCCCATTTTTAACAGAGAGTTCAGAATCTGCACCGAGCTGGAAAAAGGTTAGGGGAAACTAAATATTGAAAGTATCGGGATGACAGACTTTACACAATGCGTCAAAAATATCATTAAAGTATGGAAGTACCTCTCCCTTGGCTACTTTTGCAATATTATACATGCTTTCACAAGCATAGTATCGTACCCTGGCATCTTGATCGGTGAAGCAGGCAAGCACAGGTGGAACAATTTCATCCAAGTAACGCGCTAGTTCCTATTAACTTTCTCAGTTACCGTTTATTTACTTTAATTACTGAATTTTGAACATACCGGACCTAAAGCAATAGCTGCTGCTGCTAGGCCGATGAGTCCACCGTTTCGAGAATGAGGTTGATGTATCGCATATGCATACTCGTTGCAGAGTTGCTTTATTATTTTTTTAATCTTATCAAATTCTTTTAATGTCAATAAATCTCGAATTACTTGTTCTAACCTAATAGAAGTCTTTAGTGATTACATAGTGCAAATTAGCTTTCGGGGCATACTCTAGAGCTCCAACTTTCCGTTTATCGTATAGTTTATCATTTAATGCTCGTTGGATGCCAGGATCCATCTTGAGCGTCGGATGATTTTCAAGTACATGTTATATCATAGAGCCTTTGGAAAATAAAATATTACCTTCGTCAAGTTAGACTTAACATGTTGCACATATGAGAAGTAATATTTGCTTGTTTAAAGGTTATTACAGGGTTTCGCAGGATGTCAAGATCATTGATTTGGATCAAAAGTAAAAAATTATCTTGAGGCCAGCGAATCTAAGGTGGTGTTAGGAAGTACAGAGATTCACAGTAAATACTATCAAATAGGGAGTAATGTCCCAAGGTTCAGTGACGTTAGGTCTGGTTGGTAACTACCCCACCCCCTTTACCCATGAACTCCAGCCTTCATAGCATGCCATCCACGCACCATTCCGAAGTCCAGGGTTAATCATAATAGCGAATAGAATACCTGAGAGTGTAGATTATTTGTGACTACAGTAATGAGCAAACAAAGAATTTACTTGATAAATCTAGTAATTACTTTTCACTCGATAAAGATATGCGACGGTGATCACCAAGTCAGAGTGCCTAAGGGGAATTCCGAAACATGAAAAATCTGTGGGGTTTCCCATCAGCCTGAGGACCGTGTTGTGCCTGTTAATCTCGACAACAAAACTACTGTATGTAACTTAAATCCTTGGGCTGATTTGCAAGGGATTTAAATAAAGATTCGATTTACGTACCCGGTTGAACTTAACTAGCCACAAGCTTCCAGGTCGTATTAAGCGGATTAATATTTTTCAAAATACGTTTTCAGGGGAAATATTAGGACTCGCTAATCGATTACGAAAGGAACCAATTTCTCTTTCCGATTTTCTGTAGCTGCAAGAGCACTTACTGTAGATGCACCCATATGTAATATGATTGTGGATTTGTGGGCTATCAAAGCTTACCTCTTTGACCGGCATTGAGTGGACAAGAGGGCCGAGTTATGTATGGTTTCTCCCCGCGTCCATACTTTTTCTCAGATCACGGTGGATAGAACTAACGGCCGATCACATAAAAATTTTTCAATGGCTTTACTGACGGATAATCGGCATCTTTCGAGCATTATGAATAAAACATTGGAGTTGCACAGCTGCACTATGTGGACGATAACCCAACACCAGTTGGCGGTATGCTCTACGAACCTGGGAGCGAAATATTCTCCCGGAGCCTAGTTCAGTCAAATTTCGCGATATCGAACAAGTTGGCCCACGAGGCGATGATTCAAAATACTCCATCACATCAATTTTTTACTCCCAAAGAGGTCGAGTCCTACATAACTCTCATCGAGTCTACAAGTACGACCAAGTACATACTCATTCCAATGATCACACCTGTTGTCGAATTTTTCTGGCCTCAGCCGGTCACCAAATACACGCCCACGCCGATATTTACACCCGACGAAGGAAGCAAAGCGTGGCGCACACATTTAGGAGACAGTTCTTTGGGATGGAAGTGAGAAGGATAAGGACAAGATTACAAGATGACATGGAGAATGGATATAATTACGTCGGGCGTTGGTTTTGAAGTTTGGCAAGGAGTTTTTACAAATTGAGATTTGTGCGCGCCAAGACTTCATTTGCGAGGGTGCAGCTGACACTATAAAAACATGTAAACGATGTAAAGTGCTGTGGTCCGCCTCCTGGTAGTTGTCTCCGGTATAGTTTGAGTAGCCTGGGCACCCACTCCACTTGGGAAGGAGATACCTCAGATTACATTTCGCGCGGAGAATAGTTGAAAGATGATGAAGGCATGTCTGGATAACTCTGGGTTTTTGAGACGTTCCCCTGGGTAGATATTCACGGATGAGGGTTGACTTTGGGTGAAGAAAAGGCCACCATAACTTCACAGTGGTACTTGCAAATGAAATCCGAGGCATGGATGCTCTAATTATATCTTGAGTCATCTAATGTGTAACTTTTCTCTGATACTGTGTTGTAGTTCGAAAGCTGCATACGCAATTAAAATCTGATGCAAAAAAAAAGGTACTCTATGCCTACAGGCTGAGGATACCTATGGTAATACATCCCCTCCTTTGCCTCCCATACAGCTCCCCTCGAACAATACCACCCCTCACAGGCCCTCGTTTGATTATAAACTTAGAGATGCGCCAAGCTATTAGGCCTTTGGTGTATTCGAACTGTTGGTTTAACCTCGCGTATAGAGCAGTTGTTCAAATTAGAATATACCGAGACCATACTTAGAATTTTATACCATAACAATTAAGACGGGCAATATTTAAAGGCTGTTAACGATATCACTATACTAGAATACGAAAATTATCATGTTTGAAGTTAAATACAGGTTAGCTGTCTAGCTCAGCCTCTATCGTTACGCAGTGATGGGCCACTTGCATGAGTCGTTACAGGTTCGAAAGATTGATTGAAGTTCTTATCAAAATAATTCACTAATTAACATTTTTCACACTCCTTGAGGAATTAACTAGACTGGGCTTGTGCTGGACCAAGTTGACTAATATACACCAAACAACGGATCACTCCACGCTTTATTCAATCGTGAAATTATCTAAATACCCAACATACAGAGGGCCTACTGTATTTGTTCATCAGTGCAATTCCATCTCAGCATGGGTCACCACATTCCTAAGACTTTGATCCCCTCATCATTGTCGAACATTAGTAAACTTTTCGTTCACAGCGTTACCGCAGCCTGACACATTTTCGGCCTACCATTACATTAATAGTTTTTTCATTTGGAGCCTTAGCCCCGTAACGAGAGTTTAGCTTCACGGTACCGGGGCCATCATTTACCTGATCAACGTGGTGATTTGTCTTGTTGGATGCTATGATAATAAACCATAGGGTGATTATGAGTACGACTTTTAGGCCTCAGTTTCTGGTGGTTGATCTTTTAAAAATACTTGAAAATTTCGATTTATGTCGGTTTTAAAATACGGTTCGGAGATAGATCGATTTCTTCTCGTGTATTTCATGTTAGCGTAAAAAAGTTTTTACTTTAGTTATATGCGGTGATAAAATATATATTTATGTTATATTAACTAGTCTAAACAGGAGCAGGACGATGGATACTCTTTGGGAAGTTATGCTCACAGTAGGTCTCTTTAATCGCTGTCGCGTGTGTTCTCGTGATATGTAAGACTTGAATCTATATTCTCGTATAAAGGAAACTTAGTTACAATGAATGGACGGAGGTTCTGACCTCCTTACATCTTGCTCCAGACTTACTGTGTTGTTCACAGACTAGTGCTGGAACATTCCCTTGTGGTATCATTTCTCTCTTACGAAAAATGACCATCTCGTTCTCCCTCGGTCCATCAGCCTCTCGCTGATTCCATTCTCTCTATTCCATCGAGTTCTAGTTTGGTCCATAATACCCACACATGCATTACATGCTAAACAATTCCAGTGAAGGAAAAGACTCCTGGATGAGATGAGGAGATGCTGAGATGAGCCAAAGCTGGGATTGAATCGAAGGAAAGAGTCACGGATGGCGAAGGTGTCAAGGACTCAGGCGCGTGGTGGCCGAGGCTGAGGAGGAATTTGCGCTTCGGCGCGTCAAAAGAGAGTTCTCTGGACGCTTGGGCTTGACATGATTCAACACATGGGTGAAGTCTGAGGTGGTCCGGTCATTTAGGTGGTACGAGGCACTTGTATGTGTGTGTTTATTGTGCTACTTGAGTCCATGACTATTTAGCACATTGGGCTCCTCTCGGACCCAGGCCACACCTTGTACAGTGCTCCTATCCTCGTTTGTTACTTGAAAGATCATTGATATATTCCCCTTGATGAATAGCTATTCGGCTCAGTGTTTACCCGTGGAATTCAGCCACCTTTTCCACGGAACCTTCTACCCAAAAAAAAATAAAAATGATAGCAATGGAAACTGCGTGCGCGGGAAAAAGTCTCAAAAAACCTGCAGCCCCAGCCAGGCGAGGCCTAGACACCGGGACCACATGAGGTGCGCATATTCATCTATATCTCCCTTCTTTGTAACAGTCGAGGTCGACTTGATCCAATCCACCATCTCCGTATCGGGTGCTGGGTACGCTCCGGAAACTCATCGGATGGCTTTTCCTCCATGATCAAGGGTGGGTGACGAGTAGAGCTCCGACCCTACCATCTGATCTGATCGTGGTTAGCTTCATGATAGTGGTGATAGGGGAATGTGTTGAGAGATGAAGACGATACAGACCGCGAAAGCGATTGGGAATCCTCGTCGAAGTGAGGACTTTGTTACTCAATCTCGGCTCTGCAGACTCTACAGTGAGAGGTGGAGGTTTTTAGGGGACACCACTGACAGGTGATGAGAATGGTCCCACTCGAGGCACTTACACTTTACGGTAGTTAACCTGATCCGGCCCGGCCCCACCCGTGCTTAAGCTCCAGTAGGAGTGCAACGGGAATCACTATACCTAGCACGTAAATGAACAAAACAAACCAAAAAAAACATGCTAAACACCCACGGTTTATTTCCCAACCTACACAGTCCTTGAATCCAGCGCTCTCGTATACCATCTATGACCTCACACTGCCACACACCTCACTCACTCATGCCGCCCCAGTCCTCCGCGGAGGCTTGCACTTGGCCCCCCTCCCACCCGCAAATTCGACGCGCCCTGACGTCGAAATGCTCCTCACAGGGCCACCCAACCATCACGAAAATACACAAACAAACGCAGAGCCTATCTACGATGCGAGCTGCCAATACTCGCCCTCAAACTACACCGAGTCAATGGGCGTTACCTTGACTAACTTCCTCGCAGATGAAGCGAGGGCTTTCAACACACGCTATGCAGTGGCTCAGCGTCTAATCAGTGGGTTCATTGACCTACTGGCCGGCACAATTGACCATCAGCTCCGCCGAGCTGTGGAAAAGAATGGATAGGCCCTACAGGCCATGATAGCAGACATCTGTGTGGAAAACCCCAGCCTTGATCGAGTGGGCCACTAGAGGCTGCCAGTGCCAGCAAAACGACACCCCCTGCCGTACCGGCTTCTGGGCCGGGAGGAAAGAATACCGCAAGCATTTCACGACCACTGCAAATCCT